AAATCTATCTTGGTTATCTTAAAAGAACAAATGAGTCTATTAAATTTTGGCAGACCTTTCCAAATGTACTAGATTCAGATTCTGTTTACGGCCTTTTCCAAATTGCCCTCTGTATATTCATAGTGAAGAAAAATTCATACTTTTAGGATCTCTTTCACTTTCTATTGCATGAAGATCTGTGCTAGCTAATTTTAGCTTCCAGGAGCAAAAACACATTTAGAAGAGGAGTAATCATGGCCTTGTCAAGCAAGTGTCAAAAGTGAGCTTTTAAAGCAAATCTAGGAAATGAAAACAAACCACATATGTTCTTTTCACGTTCTGCAGTTTAGGTGATTAAATACTTGACTTTTAGTGAGACGCTTATGTTTCTTTATTAGGCATTTTAAAAAATTATTTTTCAGACTACGTCGGTATGACATTTCAGGACCCTATTCTCCACTCATTATGGAAATTAACAATAACAGCCATTAATCAGTTCTGTTACTTCAGTTGCAAGGTGAACTTTAACAGCATTTCCCTGATTATAATTGAAACAAATGGAATTTCTGAAGTAGCTTATAACCATACCATGGAATATACCTATGTTGCAATATTAGTTCAAATCCAGGCACTCAATTAGAACCTCTTTCATGCTCTTAACTATCTTTATGTCTACTATTATTAACTTGCCTGGCAGAGGTGAAAACAAGCATAATTCAGGGAAAGAGAACATTTTTCCATGTTCACACTGGCCTGCCGTTTACACAACCTCCCCATCAAGACCTTTAAATATATTTCACAGAAATAAAGTTAAACACTTGATTGAGTACTTTGCTGAACAGGAATGGAATGCTGAACTAAAGCTTCTGTTATCTAAGTGCTAAAAACGCTCTCCTTTGCGGGAATGTGTGCTCTCTGCCTTTTCTTGGAAACTAGACAAATAAAAAGATTGAGAATAGCAAGAGCTGTCCTGAGGACAGGACTCTGTCCTGAGAGTACAGTTCATTAAGCTGGTAATCAATGGGTGATGAAATATATGTTCCAGTGTCCATTCCTGAGCTAATGCATCTTTTGGAAAAGTGGACCTAACGTTGTTAATTCAATTAATTAAATTTACAGTATATAGCAAACTGTTTTATTTGCTTTACTTAAACATCCATGACGAATACTCACTGTGTTTAAAGCAAGATGACAGAAGGAACCTGTGGTTAGTCAGTGAATGTTCGATATTAAACTTTACAAAGCATTGTTTCCAGGTGTTTAGGTATAATGCACAATAATAGTCAAAGAAGGAAAGGTCCTTTGTTCGTATCATTATCTCCGTATCTGAGAAAAATCCTGTAAAACATACCACATGTTATTTTCTTCCTTTCTTCTTTCTTCAGAGACTTTCTCTGGAATGGAAGCTGGGAGATCCAGCACCTCCATGTGCCCTGAGGAATGCAACCTAAACGAATTCAGTATTCCCTTGTAGTTTAGGAAGGATTCAGATACACCCATTTCTCTTGCCTAATTGCATTGTGGAAGCTACTCTTATTCTTTGCCATCAACCAAATCTGAAGTTATTTCAATGTGAAGTAACTTTTACCAGCAAGTCAGTTCCTAGTTTATTCCTTTAATGCTTCACCCCAGTATCTGACCTTATATGGTCTCTCAGTGCTATCTCACTTTCTGTTGAAAAAAACTAATGCTTTTTATAAAAAGCAACTTTCAAAATATGAACAGCTATGTCAGAGTGTGAGTGTTGGTTGCTGAACGTGCAGTGCATGAAATATAGAAAGAAAGAAAAAGAAGCTTAGTCTGTGCCATGAAGCTACAAAAAACTAAGTTTCAATGCTGTCTAGACGATACCTCAGATAACCCATTATGTATAATCCCATACAGACGGAAACATGAGTGCTCTTTCATCAGCTTGAAATCCAATCAGCATCCATTACTTCCAAGGAGAGAGAGAAAGTTGCTCGTTTTAATGGCCTAATTCACTTTCCAAAAAAGCCTTATGGCCCAGCAGAAGCAGCAATCTATTGTGGATGGCTTTAGTCACTAATGACTCCACTAGTTATGATAACTCATCTTCCACACCTAAGCTTCAGAGTGCATGGACTTTACCTCATATCTTACAATATGATCCATATAAAACAAATTCTGCTTTTTTTTTTATTTACTTACCATTACGCTTATCTATAACCAGGACAGTCTTTTGTGTCCAACTTATGTCAAACTAAATAATAAATAATAATAATTAATAATAATAATAATAGCAGCTAACTTAATGGTGAATGATAAAACTATTGAATCATATGAAAAGTATTTCAAAGAGTTTTAGAAAAGAGTGGAGAAAGCCTGACAAGGACAACACAAATATTTTTCACACTTGCAGGATTTTAAAAAGATAATAAGAATGATACACTACGTTCAGGAAGGACACATCAGAAGGCAAAGTTTTCTTGCTTCTGTTTCTTTTCTTTCTTCCTCCCTGTCCTTCAGTTAACGCTTCTCACTCCTCAGGTTGCTTTGTTGTAGAAATGATGATCCAGGATCACAGCTATCAACAATACATGGAAAAAGAAAGAACCAGCTCAGGCTGGTCCTTCCAAAGGTATGGATGTCAGATCAGAGCGATACTACCAGTCTCCTCTTTTTCCTGTACCCATAATAGTCTATGGTAAATAGAAAGCTTAAGACACCTTTAAAATAATAATACAAAAATCCTACCTGCCCTTCCTCCCTCCACCCAGTCTTTTTCTAGATCTCTTCAAAACGTGGATAGGGAGACCACTTACTATGACTTACAACAAGCATTAGTTAGTTTTCAATACTGCCTTCGCATAAACATACTAGCTTCAGTAAAGTAGTAACTCCTGCAGTACGCTTGTCCAGCAATTAGGAGAACTGTTGGTTTTGCTTCAGAACATAGGACTAGAGTTTCAGTAAGTCTAGTAGCCCTTTCTGAACTGGTTGCAGTATTTCTCTCTCATATCTTCCCCAAGATTGGACATGAGATGCATTCTGAGACATACATTACCAGTGAAACCCTGCTAAGGGAGTATATGAACTACTTACAGCTCTGTAAACAGAAAGTCAGGTCCGAGAGCTAGGTGGTGTCACCAAAAGCTAGAGACCATTGTACTGCTAGAGTGAAAAGAGAAGTAGTGTACCAGAGCAGACAGGAAAATTGGAATGGGATATTTTCACCTCAGGTTCTTTTCAATAAAAGATTCAGGAAGGTTTCCAAATTGTGGTTTTTTCCTAATTCAGCTGTTATCCAACCTTTGGCCTATATCAGATCAGAGTACCAACTTGAAGGGAATCAGCTAAGAGCCAGTGCAGCCTGAGCAAACGCACTCCCACTGTGTTCTGTGAATGCTTTCTGCTGTGGCATATACGCATAAGGCACACAAGATCTACTGCTCTGCTTTGTACTGATTACTTTCAAGGACTCTCATTTCGCCCTGAGAAAGAACAGAAATAAATAATTATGGGATAAAATGTTGTCATAATAATAATGCTCTCTGGTGGCTTCAGACCAATAAAAGCCAAACCAATGACGAAACATTTCATGGAAAGCAGAAGAATATTGTTTCTATAATGATGACACTTCATTATAGTGCCTTTATTTTTATTATGCCAAAAGATGATGGCAAAATAAATTAAAATGTCTCAGTCTTGTTATATATATAGTTTACTATATATACACTGTGTAATTTTGGCCCTTTCCAGATGACCTTGGAAAGCTGAAAATATTACTCAAACAAAAACATAATGATTTATGGGTTAAGAAGTAAACCAGACAGCTCATTCTTTCAAAATAAGTTCCTACTTGAGTTCTCTCCTAACGTCAATTACTGAAATGTAGATTCTGACACAAAGTAGAAAAGTGTATTATAAAAAGTGTCCACGCATTTGTACATGTACGTGTGTTATAAGTGCCCCAGACTACCTTAAAAAGTCTCCGGTTTTTCTCAAAGACAAAAAAAAAAAAAGACAGTATATTTTATACAGGACACTTTGCAGTATAGTATCTTAAGATGTTATTAACATTTCTGCTAAGGACATCAATATCACATTTAAAAGAACTGAGAAATTAAAGAACAGTTGACTTCCTGATTACTCACTGAATATTCTAGATCTTAGGTAAAGCTAGACGGATTCCGAAGAACATTAATTGTTCCTGTTAAGACTAAACAGTAGGAAAAAGAGATTGATGACAACATTGAGCACTTATGTGGCTATATATTATCCCTTTATGATTATTATTTATGGGTAACTATTCAAGATGCCCCTTCTTATCTTCTGCACAGTGTGATTTATTACAAAAGTAACTCTAAACTATGACTAACTTGTTCCTATGAGTTTGTCAATGATAGCTTTATTCTGATATATAGATGCAAATCTGCAATTTACTAATTTTTTGTAGTGTATGTCTGCAGTTACATTTCTTTCTAAAAATGATGGATTTTTTTTTTTTTGGTTTGTTGGACATGATTCAGCTTTTAGTGTTCACTGGTTTTGCAAACCTTTAATTTTTCAACTGTAATCCCTTTTTATAAATGTGATTCCTGAGTCAAGGGAGATATAGTTGGAAAACATGCTTATTTTAAAATTTCCTAAAATATAACTATTTAACAAATGAAGCATCAATTTTACTTAATGTACTTTATGTTGAGACATATGTTTGCCTATGTATCGTATCACTTACCATAGATCACCAGGAATATGAAATCAGTACCTCCATTAATCATCCATCTAGGCACCTGAGAATTCTTTTTTATCAGCCACTTTAAAAAGCAGAAAGTTTGAACCATGTCTCAAATTATATACATATTGGAAGGAGGAATTCTGTTTCAGAAGGGTAATACCATAAAATCATCCCTGCACCAAAAAATAATAGTAATGAAAGGCTTATTGAGCTCATTTAAATTAAACAAGGACATGATTGCTATCTTTGATGTAGAAAGAGACGGACTACTTTTATGAATGCCATAAAAATAAACTATTTTAATAGACACATAAATAAAAGGTTTAAAGTAGAATTTTCCCCCAAAGCCTAAAGATGGTCTAGCTTCTGTACAGAAACTGAACAACATACACGTGACTACTAAATTAAATAATCACTTTGTTACATTCAAAATAATTCGAAGCAAATACACAATGAAATGATGTACCTGAATCATTCTCCTTTGCTCATCCTATCAGTGTCTATAGTATTTTCTTGTTTTACGGTACTCTGAGGATTTGGACCGTTACATAAAACTCTTTGAAATGATACAGTTGAAAATTAAAAATCAAAGGAAAACGACCTATCCTAGCACCCAAAGGGGTGCCTTTCATCACCCATCAATTAAAGTTTTAATGGAAGAGAACTAAGTATTGTGCTGTAAAATAAATTATGTCTTTTACGTACTGTAGTATAGTCATCTTAAAGTGTTTAAATATTACATTCACTTTGGTGACGTGCTTTTGTCTATGCCTATAATAAATTATACAAGGCATGTGCTAGCTGTTCCTGTGTGCTGAATAACAGCCTTCTGGTTTTACTGGAAGTGAGGGGAGCTTAGCACATCTGGGGAATTACAAAAAAAAAAAAAATCTGATTTATGTAAGACAGACATAGTCTAATTCAAAGCAGCTTTCCTCCTATCAGCCCCCCCATCCCTCAACACACACATACACACACCCACACACACCAAAAAGGTTACTGTGATGGCTTCATGTTTTTGCTCTGCTGTATCAAAAAAGTCACAGCCTGGCAACTAACACTCTGACCAACAGAGGTTGTCAAGTTTTGTCTTTCCTTTCTCCCAATGAATGATCTGTCTGTTTGAGGACATCTGCCATTAACCTCTTCGCACTCTCCAAATATTCTGACTAATCTAGGCATGGAATCACCCCACCATTTGTCCATCAAAAATGGGATTACTGAAGTTCAGAGTTATCTCCGTTGTCATCTGGAATGTGGTTCTGATGGGTGAGCACCATTCATCCTGTAGAAGAGAAAGTTGGTCATGTGGACGTTTACATAAACCCAAGGCAGAGTCTCAAGATATCTTGTCCTGGTGAAATTGGAGAACAAATACAGAGATGACGGCTTTCATCCATAGTGCAGAGCTGACATTTCTAGTATGTTCTGTCACAAGTTCAAGAAAGCTGGGCCAAGCTGACTTAGAGTTGGCAAAAGAATGTGCTCAAGTCTATCCACCAGCAAGACGTGAATGGCAATGTAACGACTGCCCTTTTTTTCGATTTGCTTTTTTCTTGTTCTTATTCTTTTGTTTGTTCACGCCTTTATTTTTATCCGATTTCTTTTTCTTTTCATCCTCCTTAAACCATGGACCCCAGACTCCTCCATTAAGCTTTGGGTTACTCCGAGGGTCCTTAGGTGGGTATCGAACAGGAACTGCAGTCTTATTGAACTGCGAAAGTCTCCGCAATAACTCCTTCACTACATCTGGATACCTTGCAGAAAGGTCCACTCGTTCATATGGATCAGCAGTTATGTTGAAAAGCCACACTGTTTTGCCAGCTGACCAAGAAACACGTTCGTTATGCCACCGATTGGGGCCTGCGTTGCTAAAAGCCTGTGGAGGTACCCAGTCACTATATCCTGGATTTCCTGTCAGTAGTTTCCAATGATTCACCCTGATGGCTGATTGAATTGCTGTGTTCCAGATCCCATAGCCTGCTGCCCAGGACCCATTTTTGGCTTTGGTATAAATAGGGTCAATATTGTGTAAGATGTCCACCCTCGGAGAACGTCTGCCTTCGCTAATGGTTTCCCATATGTCATAGCCATCCAATTGGATATCTTCATCAATCTGCCCTTCTGCCAGTGTGATCAAAGTAGGGAACCAGTCTGTGATGTGCACAAGCTCCTTACACACAGACCCTTTGTTTTTCAGAAGGGGGCTATGGACAAAACCAACAGCACGGATTCCTCCTTCCCAATAGGTCCCTTTGCTTCCTCTGAGAGGCCAGTTACTTCCCCCAGCCATTGGCTGTCCACCATTATCTGAAGAGTATATGATAATGCTATTGTCATAGTAACCATACTTCTTTAAAGCAAGGGTTACGTTGTTTATGGCTTCATCCAAACAAGCAAGCATGGCAGCATATCTTCGCCTGTTTATGTTATTTATTGATCGATAATGTTCAAAATACTTGCCTGGTGCCTGAAGAGGTGAATGAACAGCTTGGTAAGCAATATATAAGAATATAGGTTTCCTGGGGTTATGAGAAGCTAAGATTTGTTGTACTTTTTGTGTGTACATCTGCGTTGAGTAAATGCCATTGTCATGATCCCAAGCTGCATTGTCGTTCTCATACAGGTCATAGCCACATATCCCAGGGCTGTCACACTTGAAGTGAGTGTAATAATCACCGCTGCCTAAGAGTGAGCCAAAAAAAGTATCAAATCCTCTCTGTGTAGGCATGCATTCTTTGCGATAAAACCCCAAGTGCCACTTGCCAACCATGTGTGTTGAATAACCAACCTCCTTCAGCTTCTGAGGTAGTGTCACATTATCCAGAGGTAAACAGTTGGGCTGGGTAGGCCTTATAATTGAATGCTGAAGTCCTGTGTGTATCTGGTACCTGGAGACAGAGAAGGAGACATATGGATCAGGCAAGGAGGAAAAGAAGAAGCTTACCATGAACACCCAGGCGTTCAGAAAAAATTTCTGTGCATGAAGCGATTTTTACTGTGGAAATGACAAAGACTAATGAGGTTGTACTATAACATTTACTGAAACAAGAGAATGGCATTTGTTTCACTTTAGAAGTGCTTAAAAGAGTGGTTCCCCAAACTTCTCTGGCCTCTGGGCAACAATACCGAACAAGTAACATGACACAGCAACATCATACACTCCTCTCCCTGCTGGCCTCATTTTTAACTTTTTAATTTCCTTTTAGCCGTGAGCAATGTCAGATCTCAGAGGCAATGTGCTGCCTGTGATCCATTAGCTGCAGACTACTATTTTAAAGATAGTAATCAAACTCAGAGACCTTTCCAGTATCCCTTAGGTATGCTACCAAATGTAGAAAGTGGAATGATGGCATTGTGTTTTTTCCGAGCATGAACCTGTGCGCATGAACTAGTACTACAGAGTTTTGACTTGGGACCCTCTCTCAGAGCATGCACGGTACTGAAACCCTGGTGATCTGATTTCTGCTTAGAGGTCATCCATCATGCAGTATGCATACAGGCCACTACTTAGCAGAGATATTACTAATATTATAATAACTGAATCAGGTGCCAGTATGCTCTTTACGGAGCCTGGCTCTGTTCTCCCCTTGAAGTCTGGAGCAGTTACAATTCCACGCTCTGACATTTATCGCCTTAGTAAGAGGCCTAGGTATGCACGCGCTGCCAGTACTGCAGCCAAAACTGAAAGGCCACAACATGCAGTTACAGTGAAAGATGTTTCTTAGCGATCACTCAAAAGCAAAGGATAATTTCATCACTGGGTCTCTTGTTCAATAGTCATTTGCTGTCCTTGCCTGCACGTTCAAAAGAAATGTTTCCTTCTACGAACTGAGAGTTAGTCAAAGTATTCATATATACAGGGGCATAGATATTTTGAGGAATTTTTCTTTCCTCGTAGCAAGTTTTCACATGTTCCCATTTTGCAATGATTACAGAAAATTATGCCGATGAATATAATTTTTACATTGCCTCATAATTTGCTAGTGGTAAACATATCTACAGCATATAACTATACCGGACTTTGTACATGTAACAGCAGTATATTAAAAGGATATGATAATCAATTCTGAAGTACAGTCAATGTGTAAAGAATACATATGGCATCCGTATGATTATAACATTAATTCAGTATGGGCAGTAGTAACTATTAAAAAAACCAAAAACAACGCCCCAAACCCCAAAGCAAACAAACAAAAGGTCAAATCAGTTTCAGTCTGATGCTAAAAATAAAATATAACAGCACACTAATCTAAAGACGACTCCTTCCTGAGTAAAAGAACAGATTAAATTCTCAGTCACAGATAAAACTGCTAGGTCTGTCACTATGAAGCTTCTTCAAGAGTACTTTCTTACTATTTTTTGGTAGTAGGAGCTTGGACATCTTTGCATCTTTTACTAGTATCGCAGATCCGATTCGCTTCCTGAGCTGTCTACAAAAATGAAAAACATTAGGCTCTGCCTGTCCAGAAATAACTTAAAATCTGCTTTTATATGATAACTTCCTGGCCAAACTCTTAGAAGGCAACAGAAATGTCTTTAATGCCTGCCAGTCTGTGAGAATTGTGTAACTTCTATTTTATTCTTGAGTTTATTTTCACAGAACCAGAAGTTCTGGTCTAATTTATTGCAGAAGCTTTGGGTGTTGCACTCCTCTGCTGCAAGCTAGCCTGTACTCGCTGCACTACAGCGCTGCCTCTTTTCTTTGTCTCTCTGGCACTTTTTCAGAGCATTGTTTCTATCTGTTACCATTGTGTGGCTCCGGAGCCCTGCCACCCAACTGTCCCCACGTTTGCAAGCTAGCGCTGGACACAGAGGATACTGCAGTCGTTACGAGTACACTCTCACAATTCTGGGTGTCTGGGATTTACATTTTACTTCTGAAAAAGGAACGTCGCACGCACGAGTTATCCATGTCCTTCCCACAATTCAGCTGTGACGTTCTTTTTCTTTTAAACAGGTAAGCGACTAGAAGGAAGCCACACTGCCTAATGGCAGTGCCCATGCTCTACTCCACTCTTAATCTTTGAGAGTCCGCGTGGGACCGTGTTCAGAAGACACAATTTCCTCCTCCTTCCCTTCCCACTGCCCTGTTCAACTGTTTCAGTAAATCCTCCTTATCTGATTTGAATGAAAAAGTCCTTGCTCCCATCCTGCTATTTTAGTAGAACAGTTCCTGCCTTCTTAAACCTTTAAAGCTTCCTCTATCTTGAGGCCAATACCAGATCGCAGTTGGGCAATCCCTCCCTAATAAGCCAACTTTGCTTGGAAGTCAGAATTTTCTCTAAAGTAATGTTGTTTTAACAGAGAGGCTTCTATCCTTCCCCTCGACACTGAAGCTCAACGTCGGGCTGAATGGCCAACAGGACCACGTATTCCGAACTAATTTGCCCTTGGACAAAGCTATATGCCAAGTATAATATTCGTACAAAGTTAATTCTCACAGACAATTCATAAACAACACAGATTCCCCAGCTAGGGCTTTTCAATTATATATCCAAGCTCAAAATTCCTACAGTGTTAACCTGACAAATATTCAACCAAACAGTATCAAGAATTAGCCTCAGTTATATATTTTCTTCTTGAGAAAGTATCTGGTATACAGCAACGCGTCTTGTTTCAGCATTCCCCTCAGGAAATTATTCAATATGCTGGCTACAACACACATATAGCAGTCCTGCTTAGATTCCGGTCTGCTGTCTATTTTCATGCGCCTTTGGTATGTTTCCCATATGCGTATAATCTCTAGCTATTTATGGCATGGCTATGCTTCTGAATATACGTATATGCACACATACAAACGTGTATATGCATACTCATACAGGTAACAAGGGATCTGCAAAATAATCAGTTCTAAGAAAAAAAATATTCCACCTGTAGAAATGTTTCAAAGGAATATCAAACTATAATTATCAGAGTATTTTTTACTACTACAAAAACAGTCAGGGTTTGCTCATTTTTCTGTACCACATGCCTTCCTAACTGATCCATTAGGTGCCAATATTACTTTTTCAGTGAAAGTCTCTTATTTTCAAAGGACGTTCAGACCACTGATAGAAAAACAAAGCAATCTGAGTAAAAGACAGTGATTATATGGAAGTAAATGGCATTAATAGCAATGGGAAAAGTGTCTCAACACTACTGCTTTGAAGCTGTACTTAGACTGCAGAAAAACAAAACAAAAAAAAAAAAAAAAGAAAACAAGCCAAAACATAAAGGAAATAAGAGACAGATGCCAATTTTGGGGGAAGTTCTCTAGAAGACAAACTTAGGAGCTCTCTAACTGCCATGAAATTTCTGTAAAATACATTCGATAGACTTCACAGCTTTCCACTGCAAGACGAGCTAATTCTTCAGAATAAACTGCTTGAATTTAATCCCAAATGCAGAAATCAGACTATGACAATGACTAGTCTGGAATTCATTATTATAATTACAACATTAGTAACTAATTAAATGTCAGTAAATGCTGACAGGCCACAGAATCTGAATTTACAAATTTTTAGACTTTATGCATTTTTAGACCAATGCCTAATACTTACATAAAGGTAACAGTGTGGTAGCATTCTGTACAGGGGTTCAGGTCTTGTGTATACTTTGTATGTCTATACTATTTCTCCTTTCCCCTTACCCTCCAGCTTCTACATCATGACTGTCTCTGTTTATTAGATGCCTCAAATTTGAGCAATGTCCGCTGTTCTTACAGAACAGGAAGGTAACCAAAATTTGTTTGAAATATTCAACTAATAATATGCTATTGAAAAGTATAAACAATCACTTTCATTTATTGTAGACTACATGTGGATGGCTCTTCATTGTGCATTTTTGACTCATACTTCTATTTAATACTTCTATTTAACTTCTAGTATGGAAGTTTTTCAGATGTTTACAGTAAAAACGCTGTAGTAACTGTTCCAGCTAAGGCTGCCGTTTGATACTAGTTGACTATTACAAAACTTTGTCTATTGATTTGTAGTGGAAGCTTTAAAGCAACAGATTCCCAGTGAGAGCGTCGTGATGACTTCACAGATCCTTTGGTTCTTGGATGCTGACAGAAATATTTCACAGGTTTCTTACACAAAAAAATGAACCAACCAACCTCCAGTCCTGCGGTTGTGCGCCTGATGCAGCTTTCCAAGATCATTCCCTTTCTGTTTCAATCTAGAAAGGCACTAAGCTGAGCCAACAGCTTTTATATTACTCCTACCTTCAGCCTCAAGGTACAGCAACCATGAAGCTGTTAAAGGTCAGCTGTACACTCAAGTGCCCAGATTCTTTCTTGATCTAAATCACCACAGTGACACTGAAGTCAATCTGACCTGAGCTTGGGGAATACATTAACATTTGGAGGCATAATTTCCCACTTCTTATGTCTTCGTAAAGCTAAACTAGTTTCCCAGTTTTCACCTGAAAAGCAAACCAAAGCAAAGTGCATCAATGACACTACATCAGTACATACATACTAAGCTTTGCACATTTTCACTACTATTCTCCCAAAGCAGAGAGCAAGACTTAAGGTTTGCAGAGTACAAGAGGTTCTCCTGGCATGACTCATGTCCCCACGATGCTTATGCAGTCTTGAACATATGCACGCCCAACCGGCTTCCCTTAAGAACGGTTTCCCTAAGGAGTTTCCTATTGAGAATTTCCACCTTAACTTCAGGGTGGGTTTTCCACCGAGAAAGAAGCTGGGATGTTTCTAATTTTGCAATGTGCACGTACAAAACTACTGATTTTAAGCTTTCGTAATTTCAAAATATTGGATTGTCTTCAAATAGAGATTCTTTTAAGGCTTACTGAAGATTAACAAAGAAGCACAGCTTGAAGTGTCTAATTTCAGCAACTTCTGCTAGCACGTTTCTAGTTAGCACAGGAGAAAAATGTATTTTTATTATGTTTCCATAGCGCAGGAAATGTTGAACAAATTTTTTCAATTTTTAAAATGACGTCTTGGCTAGGATCTAATACAATATTTTAATTAAAAGAAAAAACACTTGTTGGGGTTAAAAATAGAGTGATAACATTGAGGTGTGTATGCTAAATCAGCTTAAAAGATCATAATTGATGGTTATGCATTTCCTTAATAAAAATAATAAAATATTGCAAGTAAGTTTTAAGATGTGCTAAAGAACAGTTTGGGTGACACGTGACCTGAAATTTATCCCCTTTTTGCATAACACAGTAACTTGAAAAATATTGCAAAATTCCAGGTGAGTAAAGAGCACGCAAACCAGTGAGATATTTTTGGTTAGGAAGCTCTCACTCCTCAAAGCCCAAGTTTGTGGGAGGAAAAACAATGACAGCCACCTCACCCCCGAGAAAACGTAAAAGCAGAATTCGGTGACCAGGAAGAAAAAAATCACATAAGGAAGACTTGCTTGTAGTGGTGTAGAGCTTTAGCACTGAGTTCATGAACCCAGTCTTTCCAAAAAGCTGTTAATTTGGGTGGATACGCTTAGTCTTATTTACCTCAAAGTTGGTTTGAGCTCTGTAAGATGCTCACAAGGGAAACAGAAGATGCGCAAAAGCTCTTCTGCTTTCAGCCTTCCAAACAGGCATGCACTTCCAAAAGTGCATGGCAGAGCGCTGCAGAGCTCTGGATCAAACGCAGGCCAACAAGAAAGAACCACACAAAAATACCATTTTGCATCAAAAATATCGGACATAAACCCTAAATGTTTTCTGCAGAGTCTACTCAAGATTTTTCAGATAATCAGTTTGAAAATCATACAGTCAAACCAGAAAGTAAAGTTGGAAAAGGTGGCTTTAGGTAGGTGGATACAGAAGACATTGGGCAGAGTGACAGAGCTAAGCTGATTTAAACAAGATGTAAATGAATCCATCACAGCTTTATACGAATTGCTGAAAGCAGCCACTGAGTACCACCAAGCAGTCCCTTCAGATTGGTAACAATAAAAACCATAGCCTGCAGCCACAATGCTTCTTTTTTATTTTGTATTAAGTATCTTTACTGAAAAGTAAAATGCTTTCTGATTTTTTTTTTAATATCTTTTTATTTCCATGCATTTTCTTAACTGGAGAGGGGTCACATGTTTCGCCTTTGCTAAATACCACTTAGCAGGCTTTCACGACAGAAAAGAGCGGACTGTAGACATCTCAACATCTTTTGTGGTAGTAAGTTTGAGTATCTCTAGCTTCTAGACAAGACTAGGTTTACTGAGCTCCGTCAGCCCCACATTCTCTCTCTTCAATACCACTGGTCCATGGCAACTCTGTACTATTCAGCCCGACTACATTTTCCAAATGTTAGCACAAAAGTTTTGCTTCTCATGCAATATAGTCTCCTCCTCAGAAACAATCGTAAGAAGTGTGGAGCCTGTACTGTACACGTTACAGTTTGTCTTTCAAAAATAGCAGCTACTGCAGCAGCACAGAGAGAAACTGTTTATTCTGTCATAAGTTCTGGATAGTTGATTCCAAAATAAAGTTACAAGTCACAGCTAAGGCCTCAGTTCAACATAGTTTAAATCCGAGTGTGATTTCAGTGAGGCAGTTGGCTGAATCAGGACCAAAGCAAGCAATCAAAGCTTGTGCCATGAACATGAGTGTTGCTATAGGTATGGAAATAACTCACAAGCCAGCCATGTAGCATTTTGTTCAGTTATAATTCTGAACACCACCAAGGGGAGAGAAGGAAATGCCTTATACATTAGAACATGATCCATCACAAAATATACTCTTTTGCTAAACAATACAAATTAAGGATAGAAAGGATGTATTGGCTTATGTTGCCTATTTTTCCACCTGTTTAAGGTTGTGTGTAAGATATTCCATATATCTGCAATATTTTCCCAGTGGTTTGCATTAGATATGAAATACTTCTACCAATATATGAAAATGCACTATAGGTAGTGAGGCTGCTTCTCTGAAGCAGCTGCTTGTCTGGCGGGTGCATTCCTTGCAGCAAAGAATCCCTTTAGAGCAAAAAGAAGAACACAGATACAGCGCTACTGTATGGAGGCCGTTCTTCACTGAGATATGAGTTATGGTTGGAGGCTTCAAAGGAGCTCTGTTGCAGCATACAGAATCCAGTGCCTCAGCCTGGCCAACATTGTTTAATTTTCAGAAATTTGAGGGAAGCCAAGACTGTCCATTTTCCAAAGCAGACATGCTCCCCCTGGTCCCCACAGCCCTGGTTCCCAGGTGTGCACACTGACTGAATCCTGATTGAGCGTATGCTAGGATGAGACCGGGATGCATATCACTGCCTCATGTTTCCTGCCTTCCTTTGGAAAGCAGCAGAGGCATACGGGCAGGGAAGAAGCCAGAGGGAGTCTGAATAGGCCCCACAGCAATTGCAGCACCAGGACCGAGGGGCTTTCTCTGCTGAAGTCCTCTATCAATGTTACTGAAACATACACCAGAATAAACTCTGTACGAGTCTGCCCTATCATTCAACCATTTTTATCTTTCGGCTTAGAACTTCATAATTTTTATAACTTGGGGAGGGGCAGGGGGCAAATGAGTGCAGCCATATGGGCCAGAGCAGCAAACGTAAACCCAAAAGGCTCTAAATGTAAACTCTACACTCTTGCAGACTTTCACTGTGTTGGCCCCCATAAAACAAAACTGAAGGTTTCACACACAGACATACGTTCATTTCATCTTCAGCTGTATTGCTTGAATTTTTATGTGCTTATAAATCATAGCAGAAAATATCCACTTCTAGACCAAGTGTGTACATAAAAAGAGTAACTGAAGTTATTTACTGTTTTATCACACCGGCAGTGTTACTGCAAACATTTCACTTGAAAGATTCTCAATCCTGCCTTACAAACATTTTTATCAACTAAGGCTCTTCCAAAAAATACAAGAAAAGAAAAAAGTCTAATGATTTATTTATGGACTAATGATTTGACAGTTTTTTTTCAGATTACCTTTTTCCAAAGACTGCAGGAGTCGAGGTATCCCTGTTTAATTGAACGTTATTTGGCATGTGATGCATTAACTCAACCTCAGGATCATTTGGAAATTCTCATCTTGTGCAAGCCTTGACATTCGGTTTTCTGAATAATCTCCTTTCACCTCTATATCACTCAGACTGCAAACATATTTTTATCATCCAGCACCTGGGAATGCCAATCAGAGTTACATTAACAAAAAGAAACATTTATTAATAGCAAAAATTAGAGGGAGTTGCAGCAAGCTCCTTGGGGTAGTTGAGAAGCCCTAGCAGAGCCATCGACACTGCTGCTCTACAACTGGAGAATCAAGGCAGAAAGAGATTGCTGTGTGCGGCTCTATGCTCTGGCCAATTTTGCATCTCAAGGATGTGCACCAGCTCTGCCATCTTTCGTCTTCCCCATCCTTTGCTGATGGGACCGTCACCCCAGGAGTAAGGCACAGGAAACTTGTCTCCGACTTGCTAGTTTTGAAGAAAAAAGCTGACTACACAGCCAAGCCAGGAGGGAAAAGAAACAGAAAGCTTTATCTGCATTTCCTTGGGGTTACTGGCCCTGGTTGCCAGGGGCAGTTCGTGCAGGAAAAAGTAAAAATTGTTTAATGACTTTCAAGCACAACTTTAAGTCACCCCCACAAATACTCATTAAATTGTAATGAGTATTTTCACACTCCAATTCCTGTTTTTCACAAAACAGTGTTAAATTCTCAGCATATCTGCTACTAATCTTTTCTGTCACGGAGACAGTGTATCTGTTCAAAACGGGAGGATAAGAAGGACAAAGGAGAATGTGGGAGTAAGAAACAGCTGGAATGCATATGTGTATATGTGGCTATTGTTTTCTTTGCTCTCAGTTCATTGCAGCTGTGGAAACAGAGCACAACACCTCCAACTTTATCACTGAATGTTACTCATTTAGAAAAAAGAAAAAAAATGTGATTGCATAATCAGTGCTCTTAGTTTCATGTCTACATGTAAATGACATGAAAAGAAAACAACTTGACTATATACTTTGCATGCCAGCCATACATCCAGCCCGTTTCCACCGTATTTTTCCAAAGAAAAAAACTAATTCATTTTTATGAGAGGCAATTTTCAGTTCTGCTCCAGTCATTTTTCCCAGAGGAAAACGAACAAAATAACACAAATGGAATCTAAAAGCCATCAGCTGGAGTGCAGAAGACTTCCCCCCTCAGGTACTTCAAAAAATTGTCTGCAGACCCTGTTGTACTGAAAGAGGCCTAGACAAGAGCAGCATGTCAGGACAGGGACATTGCACATACCAGTTCATAAAGGTTCTTCTCCATGCTACAGCACTTAACTCCTGAGCAGTGACAGGAGTTCCATCTGAACCTGAGAAAAAACTTCTTCACTGTGAGGGTGACAGAGCACTGGAACAGGTTGCCCGGAGAGGTGGTGGAGTCTCCTTCCCTGGAGATATTCAAAACCCGTCTGGATGTGATCCTGGGCAATATGCTCTAGGTGACCCTGCTTGAGCAGGGAGGTTGGACTAGATGATCTCCAGAGGTCCCTTCCAACCTAAACGATTCTGTGATTCTGTGTGATTCTGTGACAGCGTGTAAAAGCAACCTTCATTTTAACCTGGTGTTCAGGGCTGTGGCTCTCAGACAACACTATTTCAGATACTATTAACAGCCTAAACTAGTCATTCATATAGAAAGGGTGAATTTCAACGTTTGTCTTTGAAGCATTCTGCCTAAAATAACGTATCGATTGATAATAACATGCATGTGCACATGAGCAGAATAAAAATAACTGCTATGTACATGTATGAAATACTTTCCAGCTAAGAATCTCAAGGCTGGAACTCATAATTCTGTAACAGGTTAGGAAAATTTGTTCAGCTTATATAAAGAACGATTTATCCAATGACTGCACCTGACGAAGATGAAAGGGATCCATTATATGTTTGCCTTTCATAAGAGCACATCCTTCATAAAAATAACATAAAATCAGATCGATATTAGATAGCATTCCTTAAGGTAGCACCCAATAAGTTATTTTCTTATTCTGTCATTAAAATATACATTTTGACCATTTACTACTATTTCTGAGTTAGCATCATCCTATGTATTATTCATATATCCAGTCCTCAGAGTCTGTATCAATATAAACACTGTAAAATGATCTTGAATTGAAAGCAAGGATGAATGGGGATAAAATGCCAAGAAGTAAAATACAGGATAACTACTACTGTATCATGTTGTTATATGATCTCATGTATTGGGAGAGATAATTGCTTTATAATTAAAGAATATTATGACATTGAAAAGTCGGGATTAGTTAGAGCTTCAAAGACTTCAGTTATTTTAGATACCTTCACACCACATCCAAACTTTGTGAAAACCATCATTCTCCATTAACCATTCAACTCCTACATAAACGTACCATTTCTGAGAGTGATACTGGAGAACATCACAGTTTCACCTCTACATTGAGCTTAAGCTATTGAGCTATTGAGCTTATCATCGGTCATTAAATTCAGAAAACTTATTTAAGGTTTTAAGATTTTAAGACTCATTTAGTTAAATTATTGGAAGTATGCTAATCAAGTGGTAATGCCACTATCTCTCTCTAGTACTCATACAGCTCCTGTTCTGCTATATCAGGGTCTCAAGTTCAAGTGTCTCAGGGTGACTACTACAGAAAACAGGGATTAGCTTCTAGTGTCCTTAATCAGTACCTAGTTACTTAAATAGAAGGATCTATTAATTCCATTAATTTCAATAGAATACTCTTTCAGATAATAATTGCTCAGTGTCATCAAGATATCAGATTGAATTGATAAATTAATTTATGACACCCCTTTTCTAGTGCAGAGGTTCACTGTGAATGCTAGATTGTTTAAGAAATGTTTTTGGGTGATTGCTTCTGTGCCATCTCAACTTTGTTCTTCTATTTGTTCTGCCTAATGTGGTCTATCGTGTAACATTATGAAAAAGTGCAAAATAATCATTTTCTCTTGATGAAAGTATGTATCTCTTACTTTATCTGCCATATATCCCACAGCAATTCAACATAGCAGGATATCCATAGCAACGTGGCATAGCTGAGCATTTATGTTTAAGGTTTAAATACGCATTTCTAGGCACTTGTAAGTTAACTGCTGACACATCAGTAATATATTGACTGATAAAATCTCATTCAAAATTGAAGAAGCTAGAGTGCACAATTCACCACGTTCAAGATTTACATAGACTCCAATGCTCATCCAGATACCTCCTGGTTAAAATCATCAACACCAGGTGCATTCTTGTCAGCAAGATGAAGATGCCTTTCACCGTTGTCTCTACAGGTATCCTGGGATGGAGGGATGCCAGAAATCAGCTCGTGCCACCCCAGAGCTTCTCCTAGAACTGAACTCATTTTCCAAGAAAAGCTACAGCCCTGACACTATGAAGAACAGTTTTATCCGGATTGAACAAAAATGCATTTTGACTTTTCAACAACATAGACGCTTTGCTGTGCTGACATTTGCTGACAATAGCAATGGCACTGAATCATTAGCAAGAGGAATAACCTTGACTTGGAACTGAGAGCTGGGAGCCAAGAGACATATGCTGTCTTCTGAGTTCTGCTGCAAGCTTACTGCAAAGTTTTTAGCCTGAGCATTGCAACTGAACTCTCTTTCATCCTTCCGACACTTTCATATTCGTTTCATATTCGCCCTTTGTATTTCTCATCCTTTAAAGCCAGGATGATACTTTTCTCCTTCTGTACAGTGCAGCAGAAGGACAACAACTAATGTTCAAAATGTCCTTTTCAGTCTTTAGATAAAGACTGTAGCAAGCAAAGGAGACTATCACCCTGGTGCTAAAGCTTGTTTCTAATTGGATTTTTTAAGACACAGCACTTACAAAATGTCTCCTTATTTAAAATCATTACTGGTAGTTACCTACAAATTCTGTCATGTATTGCTAGCTACTGAACTACACTATACTTTCTTATTAAAGTCACAGACTGCTGTTAGTACTACTGGACTCTTCCCTCCTTTCTGATTTGCTTGAGAAATATTGTATTAAAAACACAACAGACCACAACACCTAAGCCCATTTTTGCTCCAGATCATGACTGGTGCTATGTGCAAGTAGGCACTATGTGCAAGTTTCCAAAGAAATAATGTATAAAGATAACAAAATATTTAATCAACCTGGGTCCCTGATGAAAGGTGCCTCACTGACAACAGGGGGAAATGAAACATCTTTGTTTATTCACAGAGGAGATTCAATATGGAATTCAAATGCTTTTATTGCCATTATCTGAATAGATGTAGCTGTAGGTGTGCCTTTGTAACATAGAAAGGAAGGAGTAGGGAGCAGTGTTTAAGTGCTGTCACTCATTTAACACGACAATTTTTAACTAACACATCAGAGATACTACATGCTATGTAATACGGCATAAAAAGCAAAGTCAAATGTCTGTATTCAGAGCATGGTATCTTTCTTAGAGATTTTCAAATTTCTGGAAAGCAATAAAAGCATGAAGGTAAATCGATCTTCTCTCCCCCCCCCCATACTTTTAACTATTGTGGTCAACAGATTCTCTTTCTCTCAAAAGCTCTGAATGCTGGGATTGAAAACGAGGAAGGGGAGGAAACTACACCTGAAATGCCCCTAAATGCCCTCCTAAGATAAATACCTAAGCTTGCACTGCTGTATCAGGTCATAGCAAGATAGCATAGAGCCAAGAACTTGGTATTTGTAGGGCTGTTTCCTGCTTCTGTACCAAATATGTTCAAGTTTCTACTTCTGAGCTTCTGTTGAAATCAGGTAGAGCATAAGAAAATATAAGGATGCTATGTAGAGCAGGAGTTGCAGTGAAATTGGAAAAATCTCCTTGGTAGTGAGGAAGGGCAGCCATACGTGTGCTGGCTGCAAGGTGGTGGCGTACGGGGGCTGTGAAGTTCTCTCCCCCGGTTCTCCTACGCCCTTCTCCTCTCCCCCATTCTCCTACACTGTGGAAGAGAACAAACTACAGTTAATAAGAGACCGAGATTAACAGTATGTCTGTTGTCTAGGCCTCCACGCAATTGAATAATGAAGTGATTTGGACAAATGCTTCTTTATTTCCCTCCTAAATTCTGACTGGCAAATCAAGTAGAACAGCACTATCTTGAATGTCAGAGCTATGCTCCCTACTTCTTTCTAACCCTCAGAAATTTTTCATCCATCTTGCTCTTCAGTAACATCTTGCTTTATTATTTGTGTTGTGGAAGTTTCTAGAAGCCTAACAGAAACTGAGGCCGCAGTGCAATAGGTAAGGAAATAAAATAGAGTATAATATAGAGTGTGAATAGCAACAGGTGCCCACTCATTGCTATTCCAACCAAAATCTAAAAATCCTGACTCTTATACGTGTACCAGTTATCTCTACCAATAGATAAAGCATACATAAAATATATGCTATAAAACGTCAGGATGAAAGCAGGATGTTAGTAGGTGATTTTTATCCCAGATTAAGTGCCACAAGAACAACTTGTCTAATGGAGAGATACTAGCATAACTGATGTCAAAATAAGATACATACAAAGTTTTGGCGGTAAACATTCAATACGTCAAACAGGTAAATCCTAACACATTCAGGCGACCTATGCATCAATGCTGCCAATGCTGTAGGCCTGCCTTCTGCAGAGCTTCTTCCTCCCAGCTCCAAAACCCTTTTGTTTGATAGAGTGATATTAGCATTACACACGCCATACCAAGCAAGGTTAGAACAGGCACCCTCTTGAAAGTGCAGGTCACTCATAGCGACGTAAGAGTATATTATTCATAAAAGAGTTTCAGAGCAAACAGCAACCTTGCAGAGGTGGATGGGATTGTTAGCCTGATTCAA